TTGTCGGAGGATTTACAAGTTACTGTGTACAGTTTACTTCTATTGTGGTTTGAAAGGCACTCATCAATGCTGATTCTTTCCAATGCAGTTCCTCTATAATGTGAGCAATCGTTCTCATTATTTTAAAAGTGTAATACACAGCCTCCTATGCAGCGGTTTGTGTTAACATGGCACCCTCCCCATACCGCTGATCAGCTCTTTGTAGGCCCTGGTTTATGCCTGGATTTAGTGAGTGTCATAGCCTATTAACACCAGTAGCTCCTTTGCAAAAGAAAGCTGCTCTCACTAGAAATGAAATTGACTGGTTCTGACTAAAATATGAAGAATAATCGCAAGCTGGTTGGCACGATGGCACAGTTGTGAGCATCGCTGTCTCACAGCTGGGGGGCCCTGGGTTCAAATCCTGATGTCTGTGGGGAGTTTGCACGTTCCTGTGTTTATGTGGGTTTCCTGTAGGTACTCCAGCTGCTGTCCGAGGAAGGAAGGAAGGTTTATTGTCGGGTTAATTCTCTGTTTTCTAAGAAAACTGGCCCTGGTGTGTGTTTTGTGTTTGTTTGTGTGTCTGTGTCTGTCTGCCCTGCGATGGACTGGCGTCCAGGGTGCACCCTGCCTTGCGCCTGTTGCTTGTCGGCTTGTGTTGGCTCTTGCTTCTCCACAACCCTGTGTTGGATGAAGCCGTTAGAAAACCGCAGGCTGGATTGCTCCAAAGTGCTTAGATGTGGTAACGGTACTTCCTCTGCTGCCAAGTCGTGGCAGCGTTTAAACAAAATGATAAAAATCTGGTCATGTCACTCAGATTCACTGCAACGGCCGTGAGAATTTCTCAGGGACGGTTCGCCTGCGAGCAGAGGCTCCTGTTTCACTCCTTGACTTGTTGAACTACCTGTAAGGACAAAGAGCGAGAACACACAAGAACCCACAAAGACGCACCATCCCAGAAATACCGAATGTGTCCTGACATGATTCCTCGCCCACTTGCCTCCAACTGTCGCAGCAACACGCCCCGACTCTCCCACACTGCCTGTCCTGCTTATCCCGCCTGTACACAAGAGTCATAGAGCTGCTGCGGTCCTTCCCTGTCCAGGAGACGTTTCATTGTGCCAATTCCTAATCCTTAGAGGAGAGCAAGAAGGAGCGATCACCCGTGATGGCGGCCTCCTGTCCCTTTATTCAGGAGAGACAGCCGTGGAAATGTGCCGGCGGGGCAGAACGGCTCCTCAGAGCTTCTTTCTTGGGTCTCATGCTGTCGGCTCACCCCCGGCCCCACAGGATCTCGCTCCTTTCACGTGTGACTCTTCTCACTTATTTATATAGCCACCAGCAGCTCACACTGGCAGCCCACTGGGGCTCGGCAGGTGTGAGCCTGGTCAGTACCTGGAGGGGAGACTCCTGGGAGAGCTGAGGTTGCTGCTGGAAGAGGTGTTAGTGGGGCCAGCAGGGGGCGCTCACCCTGTGGTCTGTGGGGGTCCTAATGCCCCAGTATAGTGACGGGGACACTATACGGTAAAAAAGGCACTGTCCTTGTATGAGACGTAAAACCAAGGTCCTGACACTCTGTGGTCCTGGTCAAATTGCCCCCTGGCCTTTACCAGTCATGGCCTCCTAATAACCCCCCTCTCTGAACTGGCTTCTTCACTCTGCTCTCCTCCCCACTGAGAGCTGGTGTGTGTGAGCAGACTGGAGAATCATCCAGGTGGGGCTGCACACTGGTGTTGGTGGAGGAGAGAGCTATGGAAGTGTAATATTATTATTATTATTATTTGACTGATCCCAGGGCGTTTTCAAGTGCCTGCTCACCTGCACACTTCAAAACGCCTTGAATGAAAGAAACGACCTTAAGTAAGCAGTCTGTTCTAGTTAGCAAAAGCATTTTAATAAAAGATCCCAAGAAGTGCAAGAAGTGTGTAATATTACAGAGTTCAAACTGCTGTGCTCTTTGTGTAGCGCTCAGCTTTGTTTATTTTGTTAAAGCTCTAGTGAGCACAGCGTTTCCTGCACAAATTACCAGTCTTTTTCAGCAGTGTAGTGCTCAGTTTGAGCTACTCTGATCTTTTTTCTTGACTCATCTTCAGTTTTAAAAATCTAAATTCTGAGCTGGGGAAGCAAATCTTGTAGCACTGGGGACCTGGGTACAGTTCCAGACCTGGGGTTAAATGGGTTCTTGGCACATGCCATAATCTTCTGTAAATGACAGAAGAAAAGAGATATTTGAATGCATGGCTTGTTCTTTAATAAGGATACCATTAATCAAAAAAGAGTTCATCGATCAACTCATTAACTCATTGCCCAATCAAGAAGGGGATATGCTGAGGGAGACGCCGTGCAGTGGAATTAACTGGACCTCTCTGAGCCACATGGGTTTCTAAAGGATCTGAATCCTACCTTCACTGCCATTAATTAACCAGGTGCCTGAGCTGAGAGGCACCAAAAGCTACTGCAGTGGCACATTGTGCTGCTTGGGGGGTAAAACTGGTCTGTTACAGTTTTGTATCAGATTCCTGGGTTCCACTTGCAGGACTAAATCTATTAAAAGATCTATCCGACCAAACCCCTGCTTTGTGCTCGTCAGGCGACACTGGGGATGATTTCTGAAGAGAGAATAGCATTGCTGTTGGGAAAGGTGATTTTCGACTTCTAAAGTGGAAAAAAATGACACAAGTGCGATGGTATTGCATAAGATATGTGTTTATTGAAACTAGAATGCTATATAATGAAATATGTTTATATGTTCTGATAGAAATATGAACAGAAACAGACTTAGGCACAGGCTCTCTCTCTCTCTCTCTCTGAGATGCACAGGGTGATTATCTCTTTCCTACAGCAGTATCTCGTGTGCTCCACCCTTGGCATCACAATAACTCCTTCGCAATACAGATCACAATGTGGGACTGAGAGACTCCGGGCAGGTGCTGTAGGACGTTTTCTTCACTGCGTTTACTCAATTCCTGATCTAATCGCATGTTCAATTGTACCAATGTGTTGTTTTTTTCTCCAAATGGTATTGTAAAAGCAGTTCTAGGTCCCCCAGTCCCTATTAAATATCAGGCAGTACAGGAAAGAGGAGCTGGCCTTTGCAGCGAACTCATCTCTGTCTTACAGCTCACGTTAATTAGTCTGTTTCAGTCCTGCATAGGAAATGAAAAAATCACAGCAGTGGCAATTTTAAATGGAAGCAAATAAATAATTGATAAATACGTAAATGGATCATTGATAGGCTGGTTAAATTAAGACAGCTGAATAAATAGTATAAAAATAAATCTGATTTAAGATTCCATAATACCCCTTCCCACCAAATAATATCGCTCTTCCACACTATGTGCTCTGTGTCAAACAGAGAAGCATATTCGTGAGCGGAAGAAGCTTTATAAAAAGCATAATACTGCTAGAAATAATTCAACCCGCATCGTGATCAATAATAAGAGTTAAAGTAATAGAATAAGAAGAACTAGCCTGCACTGTCCAGCTGTGCAGAAATGAGTGAATTAAACAGTGAATTAAGAATTGCACTTCATCCTAAATTTCCCTGCTCTGCTCTTTCTTTAAAAAACTGTCCTGGTCGTTTGCACAGTGATTTTGACTATACTACTCGAAACCCAGAACGGGAGGCCATAAAGTGTGCTGCATTGTACATGGGATTGCAGTTTCTGTGTATGATAAAAGGATGTAAGTGATCCCGGCAATGCAAATGCAGTAATTTCCAATTTCTGTTCAGACGCGCTGGGCGGAAGGTGCTCAGGCTAGGCATGAGAGTTAAGAAGCTGGTTCTATATACATACAAAGGATGTGAAGGAATTTGGAGTTTCTATCCAAGTGACTGGAAACCTTCGATCTGCCCGGATCAGCAGATCTCCAGATCGGGTGTTATGATCGGTAAATTGTGTGAGTTTTACAGCAGGATGGGAAAAAGGTCAGCAAAAATATTGCAACATATGACGTAGTGGGCACAAAGATCCGAGCGTCTGTGAGCCAGTGTCCATATGTGCGTGACACATTTGAAGGGAAGGCCTCAGGCATTGTCTTATTGCCCATCGGATCCACTAACACCTCTTAGTTTTATCCACCCCAGCAGGGCAGAGGCCATGAGTTTGAGGGTCCAGTCCTGGGCCTGATGGGCTGGAGGTGGACATGGCGACGCTGAGGATTATATGAGGAGCTGATGAGGCTGCTGGGGTTGGTTTTCTTTGACAGATCGGCTCTTGCTCGGGTTTCAGGGAGGCGTGCAGTTGTGGTGATGCATCGAGGGGCGTCTCTAGTAGAAGTGAAGACGTTGAGACAGTGGGGGTGTTTTCTTCAAGGTGAAGGGGAAGTGGCTGTAGAGGTGCCAGGTGCATGGTGGGAAAACTGCAGATCTGTGGAGAAGATTGGAGAAGCAGGTTTTACTTCTGTGATTCACCTTTCAGGGACACAACTCTAAATCTTACACACTGCAGCCCGAAAAGGGAAAAGAAATAACTTTCTGGGAAACAGAGGTTGATTCCACACTGACAAGTAAAAAAGGAAATAACAGAACTGGTTGTTGAGGAAACCTTGTGGGGGGTTTGACTTTCAATCAGCTGTTCCGAGTGGTATTGAACTCTTGTTCTGTGGCAGCTCGCACAACGACGCGGCTCCCCACACAATCCCAGTGAGCAGCATCACAGGGTTTTCTTTGGCCATTCTAGCTGGGTGCTGTGATTGCAGGGTCCATAAGCGGGTGATTGCAATAACTGCACAGGCAGCACTCCCCACCACACATGGACAGGATGTCTCAGTTGTATGCACAGGCTTACAAAATGTGCCTGGACTCCCAACACAACATGGAATAAAATAGGACTTCTCTTGCCAGTTTTAGCCTATATCTGTCCTCCACACCAAAAATTAAACAGTAAAACAGTCTCACCTTCTCAGAAAAGGCCATTTCTAGTTGCATATTGCACGTGGTATGATCTTCTTCTGTGCCATCTCCTCCTGAAGGCAGCACAGCAACCACACAGCAGACACTGGAATACAGAAACAAGCACTCAACACTGACAAAGCACACACTGGAATACAGAAACAAGCACTGAACACTGACACAGCACACACTGGAATAGAGACAAGCCCTGAACACTGACACAGCACACACTGGAA